AGAACCTTTCTTCCCCAACGGTTATCGGTTCTACGAGCTATATGGCCGGGCCATCGCCACTTCAGCTTGCTAATCATCTGAGCTATGTCGGTTACCTTGGTTCTACTGCGGATGTCTTCGTTACGAATTCTATCACGCAGAGAAATACCGAGCATAGCCCACTCCATAGCTTAATTTTTGTTATAAGGATAATATTTGCCCTACGTCACAGCAATGATGAAAAGTAATCAAGTGTTTTGACTTAAACGTTTACAACGTTTTAGGATATCAGAATTACTTTGACTGTATTGACGTTACATCACGATTCTATTGATTGTATTTACTTACGGAATCAATTCGGTAGGGAAAGTAATGTATACCGGGAATTAAAAATAACTTATTTTTCTATAAAGAAATTCTCCCAAGTATTTTGGGTACAAATCAATTTTTTTTTATATAAAATCAAAAGCAAAGCAGACAAAAGAATTGTTCTAAGTTTCCGTGTCTTTCGAGATAAAAGTAGATGTAAAGTAATAGTGAAGATCGCAAACAAAAAAATAAGACCTTTCATCAGAAACCAATATAAAACTTGACATAAGACTTTACGGTATCGATGCCTTAGCTACTTATTTGCCTTAATCTTAAAGTAAAAAGGAAGAAAAACTTTTTTAATCAAATGTTTTAGCACATTTCCTGCGTAGAGCGAACAATTCGTTTGGAACTTCGGTTACTAATTCATTCCAACAGGGAAATCATTTCTTAACGTTAATTTGTTTACTTAACGTTAGCTTTTGGGTGAGTCAATGTAATTGTTATTAAATGAAATCAATAACATTTTTTATTTTAATACATATTACATTTATACAAAAATTAAAATTCCAGTAATTAAAATTCGTTTCGGTGATGTTATCTGGTATTGACCCAATTAAATTATAGTAGATAATGTTGTCAATATTTAAGGCTATAGGAATTTGCTAGGATCGCAGACATTAGAAATTTGTCCTCTCTATCTGTCAGAGTAAGATGCGTTACTTTATCATTTATTTATGAAATAAAGTAATAAAGGTAAAAACACAAAACATTACCGCGTACAAACATAATAGCGTTTGGATGCGACTACGGCAGACGTGGGTTCGATTCCCGCAGTGGCGAAAAACATTTCGTTCTTTTTTATACAACTTTTAATCTAACATTGAACGTGATTTAGTAACTTGTACTTAAATCATAAGGATGCACTAGTCCTTATAACTTGTTTTATTTTCGAGATTAGAACACATTATAGTAAAACTAACTTACTAATGCCCTTTTTCATCATCGATTCCTTACTTTAAGGGACACCAAAAACTTAAGTGATAGTTTCGTTTTCACCACGGCATAAATGTTACCTAAAGTTGTTTAAGTGTTCCTTAAAGTTAGGGATCGACGGTGAAAACGGGCATAAGTTTATCAATGTTACCATATTAATTACATATGTTTCGTACATCATAAATCTAGTAATGTTTACTTTGAAGTGATTTTAATACATCGAATGGTGAATTACGAAATAAGAACTAGTTAATCCTTTAGCAGTGTTATGAGAACAGCAAATAATAACAATTATGAAATGATCGTGCATTACAACTACTATAGTAGCTTTGGTAGATCATGCTTAATATGAATATTTATTGTTAAAATAAACATTAATTCGACCATTTTGTAATATATCGTGTGGTTGGCGCATGAGGTTTTGTCGTTAATAGCTTGCAAGTGTAATTTATAATGGCGTTTTATAGTTGAATTAAATATTTAAAAGCGTTTGTAGCTTGTATTTCAAAAGAAAAAATTGTGTATCGACGTTTATAATATATTCCCATTTCAAGCACCCGCTTTCTATTCTCCCCGTTTTTTAGAGTTCCGTACCGAAAGGGTAAAACTGGACCCTTTACTAAGAATCCGTTGTATTTTCGTCTTAGAGTCACTTCAATATAGTTTATAGTATGAAATTTTACTAAATTTAACTATAGGTCCGTAACGTCTTTTTCTTCTACATACCACATAGTAAAAAACAAAGTCGTACCGCTATCTCTCCCTATGTATGCTTAGATCTTTAAAACCACGCAACGGATCTTGTTGCGGTTTTTTATTAGATAGAGTGAATCAAGAGGAAGGTTTATATGTATAATACATTACACCCGCGCCAAGCCGGGGTGGGTCGCTAGTTAGCAATAATGTTAGTTTTTAATTTTTTTTTGTGGTAGGGCCACGCAACATCTTCGGCTGTTGCACGAATGGGCAGGTCTGTGATGGATAAGTATAAATAGCTCAAAGAAGACCGGCATTAAGTGGAAGTGTTATACTTCTGCGTTTCGTCGGGTGAGTAGCCGGTGCCCATTTTATTAAAAGGTGGCAACGCATCTGCAATCCTAAGGGTGTTTCAAATGTCCATGGGCGGCGGTTATCACTTAACATCAGGTGAACCACCAGATCGCCTGTCACCCACTCACATGAAATAAATATTAGATAAAAAAAAGTAATAGAAAAAAACTGTATTGTATAATATCTAAATTATGTTGAGGGCTAATGTACTAACTATTTTTAGTTCGCTTCTTTTTCGTAGGAAACGATATGTTGAGACATAAATTTTGTGTTCTTTTTGTTACCGCCGTTGTGGCTAATCGAGCGAAGAAAATAAATGATGGGTGATAATCGGGTTCAGGTATTTTGTAATATTAGAGCAAAAATTTAACAGCCCCGTTATTGATGACATTACTTATTATTATTAGTGTCAATTTCTTATATGGGCTACGTTTCTACTTTAAATAACGATGATAATAAATAAATGTTTTAGGTCACACAACGCTCTCTAGTCACAAACTAAGAAATGCTTGTACTATGGGTACTAGATAACTGATAAACATACTTAAACAAAAGTATGTTTTGTAAATAAATACATATTATACATATATAAACCACCCAGACACTAGAAAAACACTATGCTCATCACATAATATTTTCCCAGTAGTGGGGATCGAACCCACGCCCTCCGGCGCAGGAGGCAGGTTACACTACCAACGACGTCATCCGGGTTTGTCGATGATGCAAATATTCTTGGCATAGTCTTAAAAAAATTAAAACATGTCAAAAATAGTTGACCTACGGCTTGCTCCTTACGTTGTGTTCTAGTTGTTACCGAATAGTTTTTTGTATTAACTTGATAGCTGTCAACCTTGTGAAGGTGATGTTAAAAATAAAATATGATTATTTTTATTAAGAGAATAGCAGAACCAATTTGATTATCATTTTTTTGTAATATTCAACAAAGTCCGAGAAAGCTATTTATGAAGACTAAAAATGGAAAATTTGTCCGAAAAATATTAATAAGGGCATTTTTCTTGTTCCAATTCGAACTGGATAAAATCAGAAGGGGAACGAAAAAAATGGAATTTTTTCCGATTCAAGCATTTCAATCAAATATTGCCGTCAGACACGTCAATCAAAAACAATCTGTGTTTGAGGATCTAATACAAGGCACAAATAAAAAAAAAAGATATGCATATTTAAAATCTTTGCTTCTCAATCGGGAAACGAGCTCACGTTCAGACCAAACGATTTATTTTTGATTTATTGGTTTGTTTTCTGTGTATGTTTTTATTTACACTAATTTTATTTACTCATCCCGCGTAAGACTCGGGTGGTAAAACTGGGGTCGAAGAACGCTGGACAATGACCTATTTATTAAGGGAGCACGAAGGCTATACTTTGTGCTATGAGCTAAGGTAGCTTAAAAATGTTCGTAAAATTTTACGAAGGAATACAATAAAACAAAGTAAGAAAATAATAAAAGGGTATTTTTCTTATTTATTGCGTCATACTTTTAGATATTTATTATCATTGGCAAGTAGCGTTAAAAGTGTGTTCATTTATTATCACGGTGGTAACGCCATACTGTATATAGGAATATGTTTATGTATGTGTGTATGTAGGTGTGTTTGTCTTTTTGAATATAATTATTTTAAGTAGGTTTACTATACGTTAGTGCAATTTACCCAGTTAATCTTCATAGTGAGTTATAATACAAGTAGCCTCTAATTTATTTGTATTCGTGTCTCTTGTTATTTATTATTTTATTTATTTATGCACATACATACACACATCAACTTCTCTCGATAATCGTTGATTAGGTTGACTGCAAGAAAATGCCTTTGGGGTTAAGTTCACCGTATAAAGATTGTTTTGTGTATACAGTTTTAAATAAATAAATACTCTGCAATAAAATATATAACATTATAATTCTTTCGAACGACAAAAACTTTGGTAAATGACTAGTTGCTTACAAAACTGAAGTGATTACTTAAAAATATGGAGCTTTATTTTCTATGAGTTTTTACTATTCTTTTATGTTTAAAATCCGTGATTACCAATTATTTTTCGAAATGGTTTACTTGAAACATGGCTACAGCATTTAACGCTTATATTCTCACTCTGATTAAATGTTTTTAGTAAGGTATTGCTAATAAGATTTAAGGACCATTTAAAAGGTTCAATGGGTAGTCTATTGCCTTGTGGTCACTTTTTTATAGATACTTTTACTTTTTTTAAATACTTTTACGACTGAAATATTTTTCAATTATTAAATTCTTTAGTTCAAGTGTTCAAAGGATTAGAGTTGGTAAATTTAACTACTGAAATGAAAGCCAAAATATAATCACAAAATTCTTTATTAAAATTTTAATGCATCTAGTGGAAGAGTTGTGACTCTGTGTATCAGCTTCCCCAAAACAGACTGCGTAACGGCGCGAATTGACGGACTCGGGGTAAGTACGACAATCTCAAAAAAGAACGATTTGAATTGGAAATATTGTACTTTTCATTTCACTTGGCGAGTGGGGAAAGAGAAGCGCTATTTCAAGGGTTAGTAACGCATCTGCCTCACAGGTATTGATTAGAAGGTATTGAAGAGAAGGTAGCAAAGACTTAACATCAAGTGAACCCCTCGCTGGTTTGCCACAATAATTTTGGTGATAAATGTTGTGCCGACATTATTTAAGCATGTTTATTACTATCATCGTGTAAATTAACTTCCATTTCTTTGTAAAAGCTGATTTCATGGATCCTGTTGAACGAAATATGTTGTTAATAAGAAGGTAATTTAAAGTGGTACGCTGTTAAACGTTTTATTAAAAAAGCTAATAACATTTTAGTAATGAAATATAAGCAGTGTTCTTATCTATTTATCGCTAAGAACACTAGTTCTATTTATCGCTAACTATAAGTTCATCAGCTAATATCAACTTATTTTAACCTAAGTCAATAAGGCCTGACATAAAGGCCAATAGTCAAATTCCAGTAAGTGAGGCAAACTACTTTCTCTTTCTTTCTTCTTTAAGAAAACAAATTCTATCAGCAGCTTTTGATGTTGAACGAATGCGCGTACTCGTCAGGGGAAGTAGTATGGCTTAATGTACCAGTGTGAAGTGTATTATAATTTTGCGTTTTGTCTAGTGACTGAGGTAACTGGTGTCCTGGTAAATTTTTAATGCCTGGGAACGCATCTGCAACCCATTCGTTTATGTAGATATGGGTGGCGGATTACTTAGTATCACGTAAACAACCTGCTGCTCGCTTGGAAAGTTTTCACATAAAAACATTAATTTCTGAATGCCCTAAAATGTCAATATTTGGCCTCTGATGTTTAATAGTGGAAACAGATACTACGCAACCAGTGTATACTGGTTATAGGCGCACTATTGAATAGATTAGAGTGATAATTTTTATTAACTCACCGCTGTCGATATCCTGCATTTTGATACTGTTCATCACGGTGTCCCTCAAAAATATGTAGTGCGCTTTGAAACCGGTCGCATCGAGTCTATCATTAGACTTAAAAGTAAGTCTCAGAAAGTTTTTCTCTGACGTCGCATAGAGCTCCTTCATCTGCCCACAATATCTCGGACTCTGCGGATCTATCATCTGACTAGAGATTTGTATATAGTCGCTTGCTGAGACAACCTTACAGCTATAAAAATTAAATAATTCTACTTTAACACTTGTATTAGCTCAATATAATTATATATGTATAATTTTTTTAATGGGAAAAGGTGACAAGTGAACTGGCTGATCACCTGGTGTAAGGTGATAACCACCATCGACATTTGCATCACCCGTAGGGTCGCAGATGCGTTGTCACCTTTTAATAAAGTGGGCCCCGGCTACCTCACTTACCAGACGAAATGCGAAAGTGTAGCACTTCCAATTTATACCGGTCTTCTGTGAGGTCGTGGTACTAATCCGGACGGACCTGCCCATTCGTGCAACAGCTGATGCTGTTGCATGGCCCTGCACGGTGAAGGTATGCATGCATCTTACAATTTTTGGGACAAGTCTTGAACAGTTTTATGGAAACAATGCAATTTTTTTTAATTACAATCCTAATTTGATGTCCGTAATTTCTTGTTTATATTAAAATTCAATTAATAACAATCGCCGGCTCTCAGATACAGTGTCGGGAATACCAGTCATGATATTTTGCTTTATGACTTATAAAAGGCTAATGTTTCAAAACACCTGGTTCTTATATCAATTTATAACTTACGGGATCACACCTTCGATATCGAAATATGTGAAATGTAGCCGCACTCTCTCATCTCGATTGCCGTAGAAAAAGTAGTTGCATTCGGTGTCGCGCGGATATATTCCAGGGTAGTTCGGTGACGTCACGGTCCCCCTCGCGCTATCGTTGCTATTGAATACGAAAGCGCACGGGAATCCAGCAAGCTGCTTCCCCGATGCAATCGCGTAATCTTTTGGCAATATTGAATGAAATTGTTTAAGTTGTGTATAGCTTTTTTAAATTAAAAGAAAAACGATGAATCAGTAATCATAATCATCATTTCAGCCTGTTTTAGTTCATTGCTGATCACAGGCCTCCCCGAAAAACGGCCACGAACTATAATATTCACCAAAAAAAAAAAAAACTCTATGTACAGAAAATGTGAGCGTTGCAATGGTGCGTCGATAAGGGAACTTTAAAATTTGTGTAAAAACAGTCTTAGTAAAATCTAATAAATATAATAAAATCTAAATAAAAATAAATAAATATAAATAATGATGAAACTGGCGCGAGGCCTGCTTTTGAGCGAGTATCGGGGCAACCCCCATGCCTCGGACATAATCTCGACCAGCGAAGGCTGGTCGGTGGTAAGGATGACCAACGGCCATCCCTAGCTCTGACCGCGGTAGCGGCACTGGCAGGTGTACAGCGTTACACGCGGTGGGTAACGCGTGGACGACATCGTCTTCTCAGCGGCGGAAGTGCGGTCGGGTCCGGCTCCCCAGTAAATATATAATATAATAAAATCTAACAAATAATAGTAAAATATTACCTTCAAGAAAGCCGTAAGATATTTTGAATCCTCGACTATTCCTAGATGAGTATATACCTCTGAATACCACGGTTAACATGGGACCGTTTGACATTATTGGTTTCGGTAGCTCGGTCCCACATAAAGAAACCATTTTCTCCAAACGACCGTCAACGTACAAAAATATGTCTAACGAATCCGTGCTGTCACAACTGTAATATAACAATACACGGCTCTTTTTATACATTAAAATGTAAATTACATAAGTTTATTTCTAAGATTATAAACATTAAATTACGGACACAAAGTAAGCCCTTGTTCATAATAAAGGTTTGTGGATTAACCTCATCTATTAAGATTGATTCAAAATAGATAGGTATCTAAAAATGATACTTTTTGCCTTAATACTATTACAACAACAAGAAGACCAAATTACGAACATGACAGTGAGGCTTATAGATTTAAACTGTAAAAGATTAAACATTCCCAATGAGAGTAAACAGTAAAACAAACTTACTCTACCATCTGTCCCGTGATTGTTTGTAGACTAAAGTCTTGAAAAACTAACCGCACTCGTTCCCGTCCTCGACCCAGAAAATCGTAGTGGCATTGACTTTTTTGAGGGTACGACATTGGATACTTGGGTGACATAAGCGTACCGTTTTTGCTCTTATCGCTACTGAATACTTGATGGCAGCTAGAAATTGCTGTAATTGATTTTAATTCAAGCATCAGTAATAAATTCTACAAGCTTAATTTCTATCTGTTTACTTTTGTATACACATTATTGGAGAACATTAAGTGATGTTAAGCTAATATTATGTTAGACCCTAACATATAACAATAATACCACAATGTTTACCGTTACCACCGTGGCATACTGCCATGGTGGTAACGGCAGTATGAAACTGAATTTACTCAGGAAAAAGTACGAAGAACTATAGGTACCTGTAGAAAATGTTTATTCCTTTCTTAAAATATTAGACATTTTGGGCTTATCATCACGATTTAATTCATATTTAGAAGTAAGAAGTCTTTACATTTTTATTAATAAAACAACTTTAAAAAATGATTATCTAAGAAAAAGTCTTTCAAGAAAAGTTAATTAAGCCAAGGTTTATCTTATCGCGATTAAACCGAAATGCATTTTAGCCTAAACGATCTATTGGTATTAAAATATGTAGAAAAAGTGCGAAAAGATTGTCGCCGTTGTGGGAATCGAACCCACGTCTTCGGCATTCGCGGCCTGACGCTCTAGCCACTGAGCTAAACGGCAATCACCCGTTTAGCTCAGTGGCTAGAGCGTCTGGCCGCGAATGCCGAAGACGTGGGTTCGTTTCCCACAACGGCGACCAAAAAAAAATAGCCGTTTAGCTCAGTGGCTAGAGCGTCAGGCCGCGAATGCCGAAGACGTGGGTTCGATTCCCACAACGGCGACAATCTTTTCGCACTTTTTCTACATATTTTAATGTTCAATATTAAGTGCAAAGATTAGCACTATAAACAATTTAAATTTCGATCTATTGGTACCTTAAAAACACTTAATTTAGTCAAATAATATATTATAAAGTAATAAGCAAATCTGAACATCATAAATATATATTTTAAAGACTTCTTAAGCTTATAAAATATTGCTAACCACGTTTGACCTAGCTTATAAAAATCCACATGACATAAGGAGGGACTTTCAAATGAACAAATGTAGATTGTTTAAAATTTAAAAATTGCAACGGACTTAACTGCAAAAAACATAACAAAAGAGGTTATGTGTATTTTACATATTTTAACAATAACCGTATATAAAATTTAAAAAAAAAAAACTGACTTACTTGCAGCACTAACTGCTGGCCCAAATGACTCATCGATGGTCTTCTTTAACGTGTTCAAGTCTACAAATATTGAAACAAATTTAGCACACATTCATTCATTCATTACATTTTTCAAAACACATTATTCATTAAAGTGATTTTTCCAAATTTTTTTAACCATCAAAAAGGTTCCAAAGTTTAGCAAAATTTGTATTGGTATCTTTTAAAGTTTAAATATTCCCCCTTTTGGTAGCTTTTCTTATTCATTACTTCTAACGCATTTTTAACAAACCTAGTACTGCGCATTACAAACGTTTTATTCTCAAGGGTGCGAGTTTGCTTAGAAAATATTATACATCGTTGAACATGCGGTAATTTTCTCATTAAAATATAAGCGTCCCAACGTCCAATTTTCTACTCTCGTTCGGGCGTACATGTAGAAATTACTTTAGGAATTTATTGTCAACTCCATATATCTTAAGCAATACGTTCGTATGTGTTAATATAAGTTTAAACTGGTATTTTTTAAAATGATGTCAGAAACCATGTATGTGGTAGCCCCATAGGATTTGTAATACAACAATTATCAATATGCATTAAATTTTGAAACTTTTTTTAATTATATACAGACGGAAAACATTCTATATTCAGACTGCAGTGTCCTACAGTCCTTTCCAAACGCTTTCACTGAACTGAAAAGACAAAGCTTACTAAACCTGCACTTGAATTGTCTTCCATTTGAAATTGGTATCTCGCTTTAAATCCCTGTCCGGAGATATTTGAATTGGCTGTAAATTGTACTAAAAGTTCCGCACCAGTTGACAGGATTTCGTAGCCTGGAATGGAAGCTAGTTTAATTTTAGGTGTACAGATGAAACTCAAAAATGAGGAAATGGACGAATAAATTTAATAAGCTATCGAAGTATTATGTAGACAATAACAAAATAAATGCAATAAAATTTAAATACGATTTATACACACAGACACATATACAAGTATATATAAACAGAGTCATACCAACAATTTCATTACAGATAATCGATAAAACTGGATCCGCTGAAGATCTTCCATCGTACACTTTGATCACATCTGCTCGGTTAAGACAACTAAAAGTATAAATCTGTTTAATAATATAATGGTCATCCAAGTAGTAGTCAAGTAGCTCTGAGCATTTTACCTTTCATCCCCTTTCTGTAGAAAAGATTCTTCGAATACTAACTTAATCCGTTCATTTTTTCTGAAATTGGATTTTGAACAGGTGAGGGTAGGTACAACATTTTATTTTTGTATCTTATGTAATTATAAATTCAAATTCATATCCAAGATACTGAGTACATAGTTCATAGAGACGTTTGTTTATTTTTATTTACTTGCTGTAAAAATATCTCTTATCGAGGTACTTTGGAGCATTGCTGTAACTTCGCCCACAAAATCAAGATCTATCAAAGTTAAGGAAATATTAAGTAAATTAAAAATTGTATTGTTACCATTCTTTTATTAGTTTTTTATTTATTTCTGAAATTATTTATTATAATGTTAAGTTAGTTGGCAAATTATAGGCAACATTACAATTACGCATTATTAATTTAAACACACTTTTTGGCAGAAATTGGCATAGTGTTTAACCAGTGTCGGTAAGTGGCCATAGGCTTTGTGTTGATAAACGTGCTAGCTAATTAAAGGCTCCAAAACATTGTTTTGGTTTGCAGTATATGAACGATATACTAAATAGTTTAGATGTGTAAAATAAAAAAATAAAGTCTCTTAAAATCGAGGTGCTAGTCACTTAGCTTGTATTTCTTTGTATTATGTCGGGTCAGGTTACGTACACCCAAATTACCTTGCGTTAAAGTGATAACTGCACCGAATGTTACTTGGGTAGCTGGAGGGGTATCTGGGGCTATAGAATCGACCGTATGGAGGTCTACTTGGATGCGAATCGAACACGTAGTCACACCAAGTATCTTGAACATGAACACCGTCGGTCTCAAAATTTCCTGTTGCATAAAAAGCACAGAGTAATTAAATATTAGAAAAGACACCTTCGTTCCTAATTAATAAATATATTATGTTATAAACAGTGTTAATTCTGTATGGAAATTATGCTTCCAAAATAAATAAACTCTGTATCCAAATCTCTTATTCGGTCATATCACTGACAATTTGAAACATTGATAAAGTAGTGGGCTGTGGCTATATATTTCCACATTACGGTACTAATACTAATTCTACGATATCTCAACTTCAGTTGGTCTATCCAAAAAAACTTTTAGCTTTTATGCAATAAAAGGTCTGGCCGTCACGGTCCCGTTGTATGTTCTGAATAGTATGTTCCGAACTCTTCTCCATCAATTACAAACAACAGATAAAATATATGCAGCCTACTTACGTCGGTCAATGAACTTGAATGTTCCAATAAATCCCGTGGCATTGGATAATTTACTGCCCACGTTTAATTCTAGCACGAGGACCGGTCCGTGGGAGTAAATAGCCGGTGGCGCGTCCATTCTGCTACCACATAAAACTCTGGACCAGAGCGCATACTCGTTGATACCAGGTGGGCCTGGACCGTGGAGACCAACCTCGGAGTAGACTTTGACGAAGTCTCCACGCGTGCAGCTGCGAGCCGAGAAATAGAAATAATTTTATTACGTGAAAAGTTGCCAAGCGAGCACGCGGTTCACCCGATCAAATGAATACCGCCGCCCATGGACACCTACTAGACCCGAGGGCTGCAGATGCGTTGACAACCTTTTGAAAATTGGTCTCAGTAACCCAGCAGATCTAGAGCTTCTTGAATTTGATACGGGCCCCGCGCTTGCTTAATCCGACACTGGTTGAAGCATCTCTAAGAAAGCAGTATTTAGAAATGAAAGCAGTATTTAGTTCTAGTTCTAGTTGAAGCTCCCTACAACATAACATAAAACAAAAAAGTACAGAAAAGATACTAAATTTGAAACAAAAACAGCAAAATGCAAAATGAGCTGACCTACCTGAGATTTAAAAATGATTGGGAAAACAACATATCCGGCTAAAATTTAATGTTTAATATTTTTTTAAGACATTTAATCCGACTTCACCTGTACACAATTTACGATACGCGCGACAATAGTAGCGGGAATGGTATTCCATTGAGAGATGAACGTTTATTTCTTGTTACGTGTACGTGATACCGCAAAAAGCTTTTATTCATGCGCATACGGAATAGATAACTTCGTAAACACATCTTTTGACATTTCTTTTATAAATTTAATTTCGTACGATACCTTCTTTGTATTTTAAGTATTATGTATTATAAATTTGTACATGATATTTTACAATCCCGTTCGGTGTTTTATAATACATTTATAAATTCGATACGTTAAACAACAATTTTACTTTATTTAAAATCTTTTAGATGATTGAAAGAAAATCTTGAAGTTGTGGTAGTTAGGATTTTCTTCAAAAATTAAAACATTTTTAATTGAATAGCAGAGGTTCCCAGTTAAATAGCTTGAGATACAACATCAAACTTACTACTGCAATGACCCCTTTATATTTTATGAACCCCATTTGGTTGACTGAGGTCAAATATCTCTTAAGAGAGATATTGAGACAAGTGGTTCTCGATCCTTGCTCTCACATTTAACACGGGATGTGAAAAGGACATTTGTTTCAACGAAAGTCGTAAAAGTTGGCGCTGTAAACATACAACTAGGTTATTTACGAGCAGCTAAATTGTTTCGCCCGAGATAGCTTTTCTCGAAGTCTTCAGCTTATTGCTAACGAAGGTAAGGTGATAAGAGTTCCGCTCTTAGAAATGTTATGCACACGCTATCTTAATTGCATATTAAAATAAGTTGTAAATGATCATTGCATTCGTGAAAAATGGTTACATTTCGTTAGTTAAACGCACGTGTATATTTTTCACATGTAAACGCACATGTATTTTCAATATACTTTAATATTATATATTTAATTGATCAAACAATTTCTACCAGTTTAACGTTCAACGGTTAAAATCTTTTGGCTGGATTACGCAAGCGCGGGGTCCTTAATAAATTCTTTCAAACAACCCTTGATCTGCTATGGGTGCTTTAGTATATATCGGTAAAAAAACAATTAAATACTCTAACGTTTTTTAATAAGTTGCACTCAAAAATTAAGGCTCAGGCGGAGATGAGTGGGTTTAAATAGGCGGGGCCCATTTGGCGCGGGGCCCGTAGCAATTGATACTCTTGGATACGTTATTAATCCAGCACTGATGATAATGATGCTAAGTAAGCAACTTTTATGCTTTTTCACTTAATAGATGCATTTTTATATCTGATATAAGAGCTGTTTGTTGCTTGTCCTTTAACTTTTTTTTTTAAATTGTTAAAGTTGATTAACTTGTAGAGCTTACTCGAGATTTTCTTTGTAAATGTCGAAGTCTGTGAAAAGGACCTCCACAATTTGGTGCGAAGACGCGGCAAAGGTATACAAAACGCACGCAGCTTGTCTGGAGTAAGGTCGTGGATAATCTGGACTGCTGAATGTTCCTCGCTCCTTCCCATAGGTAGACGTGAAGCGTATACACAAACAACCTGAATGTAATAGATGTTTGGTTAACAACTTAACTTCGACAAGAGTAAAAGTAAATAAACACTAGGAATGAAAACTCCATAAGTTGGTGTAAATATCCCTGATAGTAAAAAGTACCTTATTTACAAAAATAATATATTTAGTTATTAAAGATGTTGAACAATATTTTTTTATAAAATATATATCATTAACTAGTTTTAACAAATCAGATACAATATAACTTAAAGATGATTATTGAAATATTTGAGAGTAATTCAAGTATATAATCAAGTTTGTGAAAATTAAATCGTAACTATCGTAACTATGAAACTATCCGTTAATGACTTGACATTTTGTGACAATATGTAGAGGGTAGTCAAAATTTATGGTGCGTATAATACTTATAATACGTATAATACTTACTTGGATCGACAGCCTGTCCTTCATCGAATGTGTGAAGTGACAAGTGAACAAGCAATACAAATGCTGTAGATGTCTGGAAAAAATGTTAAATGAAGTAAAGTTTTTTATTATTATCATGGCCGTTCTACGTCTATTTAAGGTTAATGTTACTTTGTGTTATAGAGACGCGTTAACGTCAGACAGGTGGCTAGTTATAAAAAACCTAGCCCATACTACTAATACCACGATTCACACACTGTGCCAACCCCACCTAGGTGAGATAAGGGCAGGAGAATGATGATGATGAGATGCGGTTTCACAGAATTGAACAGAAAGTCTCCGAAACATTTATGCGCCAAATTTCTGGGCAAGAGTGGGATTTCAATTGAGGATGTGATGATGAAGCTAAGTAACACCCTATATATTATGTCTACTGCAGAGCAAAGGCCTCTTCTGTTAAGAGGGCATAGTTCACTACGTGAGTCCACTGCAGTTTTGGAGAATTGACATATCTTCGAAATAATTTTTTGTCATTATTTCTACACTACCCAGGTTACCTCACGATGTTTTCCTTCACCGTTGAGCACGTGAAAGTCAACTGGTAATTGCAATTCACTGATACACTGATCCATTACAGCTTGATATGGTTTTAATTACAGCTTGATTTGGCATTAATGGTAAATATGTGTTTATATATATTAAACCCATTGTGCCAAAAAAATTGGAATGATTTCTGTCATTAATACTGTGCGAATGCTATAACGGCCTTGGAAACGTGACTAAGATAAATTAATACTATTATAAATATTACTGTTCGAGCTATAATACTATTTAAAAAGCTACAAAAATTTTGATTGAAATCAATTAATAAATTATAATAAAAATTAATTACGTTCATCATTTATAAAGTGACGCTCATAATATATTATGGTTACTATCATAAGATCTGGACTTTAGGTCAAGATAGTGGTGGGGTTGTATGGTCGGGGCGTCAGACCTACGACGTGATTTCTAGTGCATAATGTGTATGGTACTAAAACAGCTAAACGCAAAAATTCTCTACATAAATTGCGTACAACTGGACACTACTGGAAAAATATTGTGTGATTATCATAGATTTTCCCCTGTCTAGGTGTTTTATATTTATAATATGTATTTATTAATAAAAAGAAAAGTATGTTTAAGTATGTTTATCAGTTATCTAGTACCCATAGTACAAGCATTGCTTAGTTTTTGGACTAGAAAACGTGCAAAAATGTGTCCTGAAATATTAAAAAAAATGTGGCTTGCTTCATTATTTCATTATTCTTGAAGTTTGAGGGCTTTTAGCGTTTTTATAGTTAATTTGAAACATAAAGGTTTAATTATTAAAATTATAATGTCCGTTTAAATAAACTGTAGTTTCATGAAAAAGTTGGTAACGTATGTTTTGTACAAGATTGAAATAATAAACAGTATTTCAATCTTGTACAAAACATATTTTAGGCTATATAATTTACATAGAAACTGTCCTTTTTTAAATGGAATAAATGCCCTTATAAAATAATATGAATAAAACCAAGAATTATGTAATGTAATCAAGTAACTAGTGGTAATTTCAATGAAGTGAAGAGTTCACAGACAGAATTAATTCAGCACCTAAGTCAACTAGTCATTACTTATTTAGCTCTCGTGAAAGGGTTTGTTTGTTATTGATTGCGGCACTGTTCCACTACAATATAATAAGATTACTCGGAGTACAATATACAAAGTATCATCATGTTGTGTTAATGCTATGATATGTTAAGCATTCATTAGGCTTCACCAGGTATGTTTGCACATTGATAAACAGGTCATTTATACGTAATGAACATTAATTGTTCGGTGTTTCAGCTATTCTCCCTTATAACGGCTATTAACGAGGCTCTGTTATAATAAAGTCCCTTTGATCATTTTCAAGTCTGTTAAAAATCATCATAATAAGCATGTTCTATTACTGTTCCAAAAAGGCATTAAATCATAGATTGATGCCAACCTCAATCCTCAATCTCCGTCAATCGAAAATATCACCAGATGATATTTCAAATAATTTTCTAATAATTTATTTGTACAAGTTTGTTTGTTTTATAAAACATAATATATGTTTAGGTATTTACTTACGTTTAACATTTTTTTAATTTTTTAACTGATATAATGGTGATGACTTAAATGAAATAAGTTATTTAGCAAATTTTGAATCTCACATTTGTATATTACATTGCCTTTATATGAATGACTCTAATCTGCACCAAGTTAATTTGTTGCGAATTACAAAGTGTAAAATTCAAATGATTTTAAGAGATTGAACGTAAATTGTTGTGTTATGTTAATTATGTTATTTTTGTTGTTACTACGTAATTACCTTTTCATTATTTTTATTTTGATTAACAATAAACTGATAGGGCAGAATATTATTATATATAATGTTGGTGGACCAGTTTCTGCAGATGTACGAATTTGCCAGGCTCTTTTGTAAAAGTACGGTGGTCTCACAGAATTCAGACATAAAGTGAAAATATTATAACCTTGCTATCTCACTCTATCACAGTTGTTACTCTTTTTTTAGGTTACTGTTAAAGGAACCTGACTCAGCCATGAAACTTTTCACACAGATATATAGACTAGATAGATGTTATGGCTCTATCAATTTTACGGATCACTGACCAGAAAACTCAGCTTGTTTATGAAAAAATATTTTGTGAAATTGTATATTTCAAATAAAATTTTAACTTTCAAACGTGCAATAAATGGATTAAAAGGGTTGGTGGCGAGAGACGAATAAATCATTTATATCGTCGCTTGGCGGTTTTACCTTTAATTTTATATTTTTTATCTTCATATTTCTTTCCGTGACGGTGGTTTCAGCACTGCGGACTAATAATGGTCTTAACCAGCCGTTTCTTGAAATTCAACTATTGTCTGATGCCAATTCAGTGCTTAGCTATAACAACAATACAACTTAATACAGTGAATTAATGTTATGCTCACTGTTTAATTATTATGTAACCGTGTGATTTGATCCGTAGGAACGTGGGTCATAGAGTGATGATAAATACCCTATAACCTTCCTCAAAAGTTGGGCTATCTGATCTGTAAACGCCCCCTCAAAGCCATTAGTGGACGATCCAGACAAAAAAATGGGCTATCAAATGCAAAAATATTTTTCAAATCTGACTCTTAAAACAAGCAAACTCTTCAGCTTCATTATATTAGTATAGACGTGTAAAGCGAATGTCACTGTGGTAGACATGGAAGTAACTTCTGATGTACGAATGGGTAGGCTAGTCGAGGAATTAACAGGCCGCGTTAATTCCTCGACGAGCCTGCCCATGTCATGCCCTCAGAAGACCAACGCGAAGTGGATTGTACTTTCGCGTTTGTCTTGTGATTTAGGTAAGGAGCGCCCACTTTGTTAATGTTAGGCAAAGCATCTTCAGATCATCAGTCGTCGTTGTATGTTCATGGGTGGCTGTAATCACTTAACACCTGGTGAGCCGTCTGTTCGCTTGACAAGTTGAGTTGAGTTGATGAATTATTGTTATTTCAGACATCAACGAATGATGTTGACTTTAATATTAAATCCTATGGAACATGTTTGGTCAGGCATCGCATATTATCTATGTGCAAACATTTAATTCTAACACATTATGGGTGCAAACATTTAATTCTAACACATTATGCCTTTTTTTGGCTTCACATAGAATGTGGAAAAAAAAGACTTCACTCGTAAGTGTTTATTTTAAGGTTATTCCTAGTTACTTTACAATATACACTAAACTCTACGTGAAAAAATATTATTGATGCGAACTTGTATAAAAAACCGATAAAATTTGAGATGAGAATGCATCATTGAGGTGGTTGTTAAATAACGAAGGGACAAAACAATCAGGTAGAAATGTTTGTGTGTATTGGAAAAACTAAGCACATAATTATTTGAAAATATTTCGATTACTAATAAACTACAGTTTTCAATATTAAGTACTTTTATTGATAATGTAGTTCAAAATGAATTGATGTGTAGATCAATTGATCAGTGATAAAATATAAATTTTGTAAATAGTTAAGCTAACAAATAAGCTATTAATATTTTATCTCACCCACAATTCAAATAGTACTATGAGAAAACTTTAAAAAGTTTCGTAATTATTATATCAATTTTGTTCCACAGTGGCATCATAGCTCAATCAACGATATTATTTGATTTTATTTATATTTGGTTTGATCATTCTAATAAATATACTTATATACGGCTATACTTTCGCATCTCTATGGTATTGTCTTACCTTTGAACGACTTATATAGTTGAACCACATTAACATTGAATAAGATCGAAGTCTGAAAGTTACAAAATGTAGCCAGTGCGAAAAAATAATAAATAAAATAAAAAATTATAAATGTAAAGCAAATATAGTCTTAGTAATTTTTCAGTTCAGTACCCGAGATTCCCGATTACTTGTCAAATTATTGATAACGTAAAGTTTAAGAGTTTCTCGCAACGCTTTAAGCGTCCATCCGCGGCGAAAGCTACTTTAGACTGGCAACTTCCCGCGGAACAGAAGGCGGCGACCTCGATCCCTTTGAATAGAGATGGGACACCTCGTTTGAAAATTGACAATTTAAAAATCTTTCGGCATGTGCATACATCATGCGTCATTTTATCACTGTTAATTTTTTTTACAGGCACGTAACCATTCGTTCTTGATGCGCCCATGTCATGTTAAATATTTCGTGTGCCTAATTAATAAAAAAAATATTTAAGTCATTAAAACGCTGTTATGCACGATCATTTACAGGGATGCAAATTACGAGTCGTAAAATGACAAATTTTATTTTTGTTGCTCATTTAATTCTTCGTTTATCCCAATTGTCGAACACAGTAATGTTAGTATTTATGTAAATACAGATATATATAAATATAATTATTTTTGTATGTATTTAATATAACTTATCATATTTTAAAAAAGAAATAAAATATATATAGTTCTAATAGCACATATACTTCTTTCCGATTGGCTGTTAGAAAATACCTTATGGCATTAAGCCCGCCGTTTTTACCAGCTTGTACAAAACGTGTTTAATAAATAAATAAACAATATTAATTAACAATTAAAATGGAAAAAAGCTATTAAATGACAATGATGAAAGAATTTAAATATTATACTAAATTTATTTGATAACTATTGTTAAACAAATTGAAAAGTCTTTATTTTAATTAAATCGTTTATGTTTATACAATAACAATAAAATATTGAATCAACTTTGACCCAAAAAGCTTCCTAGCTTTTCAGTTTATACCTTTATCCAAAATGAAAGAAACATATATTATTTATCACCAAACAACCTGATCCAAAAGAACCTATAAATTTGATGGTACTCGGGATACCGAATAATAAATGGAAGTAATAAATCTTCCATGATAGTCTCATAAATATGACCTAATCTGGTGGTCAACCAAGTTTTTACTATCAAAATCAAAAATTCAGAGAGCGCCATAGTTGTAATAAATAATAATAGATTTCAAGATTATTGCTCAGGTGATTTTTAAGTAGAAAAAGTTAAAGAAATAACATTTGAAGCCAAGGCATCAGGCGTCGAAGGTGTTTTTTCATATTAAATATTTCTTATATCTCTTTCGCATTTTATTAAGCTCTGTATTTGGTTAAAGGGCAATTAAATTATCTACAACTTATATAATAGAAAACTGGTCAAAGTTTTTTGTTTTTATTATTGACAACTGCGAATGAAAGGCTGTTTTCGAACTTCTTTCCCAACCTAAAATTCCCTCATAAAATGGATTTAAGGTTGCAGTTTTGAAATAAAATATTGTACGCTAAAAGATTTTCATATATCAGGAACAGTTAGTGAATATCACTCCGTTTACAATGGAGTCTTACATTTAGCTTGAAGTATTTACATTATATTATACTAGCTTTTCGCCCGCAGCTACACTCGCTTTAAAGCCCTTAAATTAAATATCTTTCTTTAAAAATAATTCCAATTATTATCTGTGTACAAAATTTCATTTAAATTGGTTCAGTAGTTTTAGTGTGAAAGCGAGACAGACAGAAAGAGTTACTTTCGCATTTATAATATTAGTATAGATTATAACTAATTTACTAACCCGCTCGAAAACACCCGTAGGGTCTTGGATATTTCAATAGAAAAAAGTTAGGTGTAGATGCCACCTCTTAATACATTCGGCCTCGGCTACCTCACTCATTAGACGAAACACAGAAGTATGACACTTCCACGTCACGATTTCTATGAGGTCGTGGTACTTAGCTGGGTAGACCTGCCCATTCTTGCAACAGCGAAGACTGTTGCATGTTGCATGGCTACACACGTTACATGTTATAATTATGTATGTGTTATACATATGTGTATATAGATGTTACATGTTACATGTTAGGTATGTGTTATGTATATGTTTTTTATTAAATTATATTATTTTTCATTACTTCTCCTTTGGCTACTTAGTTTATCTTCTTATTTGTCAGTTGATAGGGGACTCCTAATGGTGTCATGTTCAGCATTGTACGCTTTTGTGCAAATAGTTTGTAAATAAATAAATTAATATATCTGCTCAAATAAACATGTATGGATAAATAAGAAACAACCTTTAGAATTCCCCACGAACTGCATTTCAAAACAACGAGAAGAAAATCACAAAGCAACTGTTCAATACAAAACAATTTGTACGGAAATAAGCCCGGTATGGGTTTTGAGTAAAGGAAATCATTCTGTCAATATAATCCCTATTGATGGAATGAAACTCGATTTTATTTGCCAAACATCTTCAGTTGCTTCAATGAATATTTGATGTTTCAATCGTCACTGTCATTTCTGTAGACAATAGATCGTAAAATTGACGACGTTGCAAATTTTCCGAATGAAATCCTTTTGTTATCTTCGACCTAACAATTGAAAAGAAATTCTCAATTGTTCATGGCATAGCAGACATGAATTGCGGAAGTTTTAAATACATAGAAAATTCTGAAGATCTTTAGATATTGGTTGTATTAAAAGTTCGATAGAATCTTTATTATTAATGTCATCATTATAGCTTAATATTAAGCCAATATGGATCATAGTATTTACGTCAAACTGGATCTAAAATTAAAGGTTTCTAAAAAATAATACTTAAGAATGTCTACGGGGAGGCTTCAATAATTACTAAAAGTAATTTGTTAAAGATGTCGCCCCAGTTGTTTCGTATTTTCACAGAGGTTTTGAAAATCGAACCCAAGTAACGTCAATGTCCGATATAAAATTATTGCATTCGCAATTGCCATCTTTTTATGATACATGAATTTTAAAAAGAACCCCTAAGCTAAACGGCTATTTTTAATGTTCAATCTTAAGTGCAAATATTAGCACTATAAACAATTTAAACATTGAATTGTTGTTTTGTAAATACTTGAAAAAATGAATAAAATCTTCCAGATAACGAGTATTAGAGCTGACTTCACGAGAAAGAATTACCACTGTAGACATGACTTTTAAATCCCTTAAGAGCCTTTTTACTATATTAGAGTTAAGTATAATTGCATTTTAGTAATGTGTAAAGTGCTGGTATGTCGACTGCGATTAGCTTTCAACCTAAAACACATGTGTTGCCTCTACGTCTATGAGTAAGGCGAAACTGATTCGCGGTAGACATGAGGTACACTCGCTTTCCGGGATAGTTTTTACCGCTCTCACTCAAAGAATAATACAGTCAAGGGCCGTCGATGGCCGCCGCGGTTTTCGTACCGCACCCCGAAGGTCTGTAGCCAATACTTACCTCATTTTTGTTAATTAATGCATGTCCATAGAGCTGCTTCTACGAAAAATCATTACATGATCTACATACTTCTAAAGCATTCATCAATCATTAAACGTGTACAGTTCATTCGCTTGGAATTCGTAACAGAATTAGCGTTAAAATTGATATCTCTGAATATTTATTAAGTTAATCATGACCTTTTTTATTTGCCCATGGACATCTGCTACATCCGAGGGTTACAGATGCGGTGAAAAACTTTTGAAAATTGGGCTCCGGCTACCTCACTCACCAGACGAAACGCGAAAGTATTTGTCATACTTCCACTTTACGCTGGTCTTCTGTGAGGTCGTGGTCCTTACTCGGACGAGCCTGCCCATTCGTGCAACAGCCGGGGCTGCTGCGTGGCCCTACCACCGAAAAAACCTGTATAGTGAAAAGATATAAATCAACCCAACTTAACATTATTAAAATGTGAACTTTTGTAGATTAATGAACACTTTCGGTGCTGTGGGATTCCATAAACATACATACATTACATAACAGAAGGTCCTTTATCCTTAAACTCGGACTATGAAATAAATATAATTTTTCAGAAAGTTAAGGAAATGCAAGCTATGAATATTGATGAACAATGTTAATCGATAGTCACTAGAATTTTTTCTTTACTTTATTTTGTGTACAAAGTTTAATTTTATTATGTGTATGTTTATAAGTTTATGTTTATTCATGAAGACTAACTCTTGCCAACTTTGTGTCAAAGTGACTTCTGTGTCAATACTAAAGTAAAAAGTATCAACTTATATATTATGTCCTATCGCTGGGCAAAGGCCTCCTCTAAATTTGATATTGTACAATTATAGAACTTCAGAGTGCCCAAAAAAAAGTTTTTTTTACTTTATTCTTTTTAATATAAAGAGGTTTTAATCAAACATTAGTATGCCATAGGCTTTCACAAAATAAATAAACAAAAACTTAGATACTACGATTGAAAAATAATGGTGCAAAATGTTTTATGCGATTTAGCATTATGTAATCATTGTGTGACTACTACATAATTATTATGACAAATTAATTGATCAAATTTTAGAAATGAACGAGGAAGCAAGCCTATTCTATAATATGATATGTGACCACCAATGGTTATACAATTGTAACACAAGACGAGTAAGTAAACAGCGGTTTGCATCTCTACAAGCTTCCTGTTACCTCATTCTGCTGATGACACGCCAAAGCATAATACGATATTTTTTATACAGATCTTCCGTAAAGGCGCATTTCCCTGGTTAAAACTGTACAATTACGCAACAGGAAAACCACATTATGTTTCTATATGCGTACAAAAGAAATTGTTTTAATATATAGGTTTTATTTTATCGCTTTACATTTGCTTGTACTGCATTTAAAAAAAAATCTGCACTAGAATGAATCTGAAAATATGAACACTGCATAAGTATTGCCTACCGTTAAATGTAATTGTCGTTCGCCTCTTGTCGTTCGTTGTGCCGTTCTAAAGAGGAGGTCTATGTTCAACAGTGCGGTTCGTAAGAATAACGTCTTCATATACTATTAATAACGTCTTGCGGCTGATGATGAGGATGTTATTAAATATTGTATAAAAGAACTTAGTCATATTAAAATCCATAATAGTCATACTAAAATCCACGCACGACGGCAGCGCCTTGTTGAAAATTATTCGACAAAAGCTCATTAGCCCGATGGAATACTGATTGAAGGATACATCCTCGGGCACGTTGCTTAACTAACCAAACAAAAGTAGTCACGTAAGTATGTGGCAGCAACGCCAAACACTTGACGTTAATAATCAAGGTAACTACCTAATGAGTATTACTTTAATCTGATATATTAATATGCGTGCGAAAACTTTGATCCCTTTTTAGGTTACGCGCAGAGGAGTCAGAAACTTATGTTTATGTGGTATAAAGTTATGTTTTTTGTTATATGGACAATTGCAATAAGCCATTTTTATGATACAATATTGTGTATGTATCTATCTATAAAGTAAAACATTCGCTTACTTTCTATATAGTCAAATTTCACGAGACATTTAAGGAGCTTTTATTGCATTGAGCTTATCTCATTTCTTTTAAATTATTGATTTATCTCATTTTTTTTAATTAATGATGGATATATGTTGTTTGTTTTTTAAGTTCATGAATGGAGTACTTGTCACAACTTTTCTTGAACCGTTTATTCATGAACCAGTTCTAGTTGTAAGAAAGATTACGACTACAAGTTAATCATGTGAGCTACTCTGTGCATAATTTATTAACTATACCAGAGGCATATGAACATGTCACTTACAGTAAGAAATAATTTTCTTAAAGTAAAAAAAAAAAACAATTTTCTATATTTCTATTTTTACATAATAAACATAACATTACAGTTAATAATATTTAAACAAAATTTTCCCTTAGCATATTATGATGACATATAAATAAAAATACGACATCAATTAAAACATAGCTCTTTCAATTCTAAAAACATTGACTGATTTCCCTTGCGGACGTCATTTATGAGAAAATCAATAACGGGCAACCGTCGAGCATGACTAGTAATCGATATATCCGTGGTCGACCAGGTTGATGCGCCCTCCACCATTTCCTGAGAAGAGTAGGATTTATTTAAGCTTATGATGTTATTACAAACAAATAGACAACCTAATTATTACAAACAAAAATATGTGGTTACATCAACCTCTATTTTTAACTTAGAAAATCATTAAAATTTGTAGAAAAAAATGGATGAAAAATGAAATTGCTTTTAATTTTAATCAATGTTTGGCGTATCCATTATTATATCTATTACAGCACAGAAACAATTTCATATATCGTTTTACAACGATGATTAAAGAGATGTCGCCATTGTTATTTGAAATTTAAATTTTTCTACAAAATTTAATGATGGAAAATCATATTATTATTTTGATCTTTATTGCACACGTTGCAAATGAAAAGAACCCAAAAGAAGCTTACCTTGCATTTATCATTCGATATACTGTAAAACAACGGTGTATTTGCTTCTGGGTAGGGTCCTATTAAAACATCATTCCACAACAAAAGCTGTAAAAAGTTGTCTTTGTGTTCGTGTGATGATAGAACAACTGAATTGCTACAATGATATTTTAAACTTAGTTTGACGAACGACGCGCGAGTCTGCAGATACATAATCTTATCTTCTGTTACCTGAAATAAAAAAATAATGATTATTTGGTGCAATATTACAATTTTTACGCTGAAAAGCCGTTGCGTAAATATTTGTCTCCAATTAAAATTAACATGAATCTTCTCAGATTTCATATTCATAATAAAAGAGAAATATTAAAATAAAATTGAAAATAAATTTCTCATTTCGTTTTTTATAACTGTTCATGGGTTACGGTTGTCACTTAATATCAGGTGAACCGCCAGCTCGTTTGCCACTTTCTCACATAAAAATAGACACTATTCTCTTAGCGGTGAGGTTCTTTAGTTTATAGAGTTATTATACATTCTTCTGTAATAGAAAAGTATTTAAGTTCCTTAGTAAAGATGCTGCATAGTCTAATGTGTTCATACGTCCAACATACTAACCCCATAAAACTCGGTTTGATTAAAGTTTAATTCGCTTAGCCAAAATGGTTTAGTCTTCGAAGTATAGTCAAACACTGTCGTGTTTTTCATATTGGAGAGGCAGGTCCATCGCGATTCCGTGCATCGTATCTCAAATGGAGTGTTCTTCCTAATCCAATACGTTTCTATAATAATTAAGAAGAAAATATGAAAAATTCAAAAAAATAAATGCTTCATTTTTTCAAAACACTCATGATTCATTCAAATATATAAAAAGTTATATAGAAAGTTACTTCAAATAAACCTAGATTTTTTTAAATCTAAATGAAACCAAATGATAAAACACACATATAATCTTAGCAATTACATCAGTAAAATTAAGGTAAAAAATTAGAGTTATTACTTGATATATTCGTCAGGTGTGGATAATTTCTGCAAAGATCAACGATAGGAGATGTTTCGGAGCCTTCATCACTGTCTCGACTATCTGCATCTGTGAATGGATGTAGAAAAGAAAACCTGCTTTACAATCAAAAATGTAACGGTTAACAGAGAGAAATTTATTAATGTAAATATAATAATAATAATAAAGCCTTGTTAAGCCTTTATAAAAATTACGAAATTTGATATTTAATACAATTAAAAATGAAAATAAAATAAATGAAATGAATAAATTAATGTAGATAATATTTATAAATGGGAACAGGCAAGTCGAAAGTAAATCACATTGAAATATTATTTTATTCATTATTATTATTTTTTTACTTTTATCTCATGCATTATTAATCGACCCAAACATTTTTTGCCGTGAGAGACAAATAAATTCTCTATTTTATAATATAACTTTATAAATTCAAAAACAAGATTAGGCGGAATAAATGAAGATAAATGGTTTTACGAGTATCTAACAAATTCGTCTAAAAAGAAAAAAACTTTATTAATACATTCAGACTTTATCAATTTCGTAACGTACCATCCATGAAGTCACTTGGGACATAAACACCTGGTTCCCCAGGGTGTCCTGGAGGACCACGTACCCCTGTGTCCCCCTTTTCGCCCTATAATAATACATTTAACCCGTGAATAGATATATAACTACAGCTTTGTTTAGTTAATACCGCATTTATTCATTCTTTCCTTAGGAATTTATTCATACTTTTTAAATTTTATTGCTAGTCTTTGCACTTACGATGAAACTTGAAAACGTGTAAAAACAACTGATGTATTTTTTTTAATAATAGAGATAACGTGAAACATTGCTAACATGTCGAGAATTTCATGCAGTGTGGTTATCGATAGCTTAGCTTAGCGGCTAGATACAGCATTTTGTCGCGAAATCCGGAACGCACAGGTTCGAGTAGTATAAAACGAATATACATTTTACTATTGTAATTATTCTTAGGGTAGGTGGTTAAAGGTAAACACGAATTCTTTCACCACAAATGACCCTTTTCCATGAACATGTCGGTTTTAGCAACACGGAAAATTACACGCGGCGCAGACAAAAAAGTAATATGCTATACTACAATGGCGCGTGTGACGTGCGAACGAATCCAGACGAATGTAGCCGAAGCGTAAATTCAAAACAAGTAGAATATAATTTGAAACTAAAAAACTCGACTGCGTTTCTATGTAATTTTTTATTTTGATATACCCAGTGTCACTCTCACAGTAAATACGAATCTAATAACACCTCTCAAGCTAAAATCCATCAAGCCCATCAGGCTGTAGAGCGTGCCAAAAAATTATACATTCGTACATACAATCTCTTGAAAAATATAACCCTCCTTTTGGCGCAGTCGGGTAAAAACTACGGAATAGATGTCCGTGCATTGAAGGAGAATAAATTTCTGATATATTATTTCGTTTTAAATGCTTTTTAAATGCCAATCCGTTCACAGATTTATAAAAAATAAAAATAGTTAAGTGTATTGTATTCATTTTAAATTTGAACCTTACCTTATATTAAGCAAATGTATCTGTGAAAGAATTATCATATAGCAAAATAATAATTACTCTAATTACCAATAATAATTCTACAATAATTCTAGGATAAGACAACGTGTTTATATGAGCAATAATTTAAAATCACTAGATACATATTTGAATTCATTTTCTTTGTTCATTTTAACGTAATAAAAATGTCGAAGAAACTCACACGTGCACCTGTTTCTCCCCTGGGTCCAGGCGGTCCGGGCAATCCTCTTAAATACTTCGTAGTCTGTGTGTAAATAATACGTATTATGATTATCCAAAACAACTTAGTTTGACCAATATTTGATAATTTTTTTTCGTATTTATTTTCTTTTTCCTTTCTTGGTGTACAAAAAAGTATATTATTATTATTATTAATAACTGAACACTTACCACTTTTAGAGAACATTTGTCTGTAAGGCAACAAAAGACTATTACAATTCTGTATAAATTTTTATTAAATGTTACATATCTATACAGATAAATAAAATTGGAGTGTGTTTGTAATATTAAAATAACCGCTTTTAACTAAATGCATATGGATGTATACACATTACATAAACAAAAATAACATTTTTTAAAATTTTTGTCTGTCTGCCTGTCTATTTGTTCCGGCTAATCTCTGAAACGGCTGTACCGATTTAGACGGGACTTTCACTGGCAGATAGCTAATGAAATAAGGAGTAACTTAGGTTACTGTTATTTTAGATTTTTTTTTTAAATTCCACGTGGACGAAGTCGCGGGCACAGCTAGTTATTAAATAATTAAACTCGTGATTTATCCCCCTGTCTCACTTTTTATCTATATGTATGTACGTAATTTAAAATAGTAGACTTGAGGACATAGTCATATTAAGATAGCCAGGATAGTAGTAAAAATGTAACAGATCTCATATTAATACAGTCAAGTTGTTAGGTTTTGGCACACAGAATGTGTTGTTGAATTGTAAATAAGTTTTTTTCGTTTTCTTTTTCTTGCAATAAACTTATTTTTATTATTATAGATTGTTTATATTAGAATCTGTAGAAAATTATTAAAATTTGTTGAATTTATATTATATTTATAGACAACACTGGGATATTAATAATTGTGCTTAGAATAAAAAGACATTTTTCACTTACTCAAAGTAGTTGTGCATACGCCATCGTTACTTGCCTAAAAATTCAAATAAAAAATTGATAATACACTCACTATGGTTAAATGCATTTAACATGAGAATTAAACAAAAGCACTTACAATCGTGACATAATCAGGTTTAGAAACAGGAAGATCGGTTGTAATTTCATCTGAAAGAAGTGTGTGATTCGGTTAAAAGTGAAAATATTGAAATGACTGAATTTTTTATAAAGTATAATAATAAGAATGTTAAAAACAAATATAAAAAAAAAGTTTTATAAAAAAAATTAACATTCAGAACATACCCGATTGTGACAAATACGATTTTAATTTTAAAGCAAGGATAATTAGAATTAGCCCTAATTTACAGTCCATGGTCACGATTGGTAAAACAATGAATGCGTATTAATCCAATGTATAAGGATTTATATTGCTATTTTCCTCATAATTTATAAACGTAATTTAATAATATTTATTTCCTTATATACAGTTAAACATGCTATTATTACATCGTTTATATATCATTTGCTCTTGTAATTATTATCGTTCTCAACTTGAGGTCTAAACATTTTTTACTATAAAAATTAATCTCTCATCTGAATGTAAATCAAATCAGGCTGCAATTAAAATATTAGTCAGTTTCACCATCTTTTAAGTAAGAAATGCAGAAACGTATGCTTGACTGGGAAAGTGAACATCTGGTAGAACACCTTTGCGAGATGCAAAAGAATACCGAATGCTATCTAGGATGAATTTCAAGGCTATAAAAATAAAAACAATATTCAAAAATTATTCAAAATGTAATGTTGACATTTTGTTGTTTTGGAAAGTTACTCCTACCTCGTATCATTGTCATAGATTTAACTATAAAGGTTTCATAAGAGAGAAATCATGTTATTGTTTACTGTTAAAAATTAAATCACTGACATCTATTAAGGTTTAAATGTAACGTGTTCAATTAGCAAACTCATGCTGGTTTAGAAATGATCTTAATAAACTGTTTACTCGGTAGATGTCGCCTATATTTATTACTATGTTACTGAGGTATTTTGGTATATAAAAAATATAGTCGAGATTATTACTCGTTGTTTTTCTACCAAGTACGCAATATTGGATAAATACAACACGTCTGTGTACTTACATGTTATACACATACAATCATTTCACATATAAAACAAAATCGATAAGTCATCATAATAAAAGTAAGATAATTTTTAACATTCACTTAATGTTTATTGACTATTTTTTTTCAATACCTACATATTTTTATTCAAGCTATCGTGTTTACAACTGGTAATTTTCCAATTTATTTGAACAGATGGCGCAGATATAAAAACAAACTCCTTGACACATGATACATAATTAACAACCACTACCTTATGTTTCCTGTTTTACTTATTCAAGATTCTTAGGGTTTTTAAAAGTAACTGAAAATTGTTTAATCTTTCCCAAATGCTTATGTTTTAAAAAAATATACCCATCCGATTAATTGGAGTTGGAGCGTTTTCAACCTAGTAAGAATATCCATAGAACTATGTGGATATAATTATATTCATTAATATCAAAAAACAGTCCTATTTATGAACAATATTGGTTTCATAAACAAATATTTATGAAAAACATTTTTAGCTCGTGTAGTGAATTTTAACTCGTGTACTGTTTGTAACTGTATTGTTTTCAATCCTAAAGTCTTAAACATGAACTTCAGTCATATTAAAAGTATGTTAATTATCCGTTATTAAAATACTTCATTATAGAAAACTCATTCAGCATGCCTTATAGGTTTGATATAATTTATAATAAATAAATTACTGGAAGAGTCGCTCGGAAAATAAAAATATATTTATTTTCGCGAAGACGTGCTTTAGGCAGCTTCATTTCCTGGTAAGATGCCAAAGATAAATATGAATTAATAATTCTTATTGTCCTGGCCTGCTTACTTCGTGGTACTTATTTTTCTAATCCCAGTAATAAAGACAACCCACATTTTTAGAGCCACAAAAATGTGTTTTAAATATATACTGTTTTTACTTGATGAAAGGTTGTTTTATTTATTTTATTTTCATTGTAAATATGTATTTGTTTAGGTTTTTTTGAAAAATTAATCCGTATCAAAACGCTAATTATCTCCGATTAAGAATCTTACCACTATATAAACAATTTTAGGACACATTTTTTACACAACGTTCTCTAGTCCCAAGCATTAATATACTACATAGTTTTCATTTTAAAATGAAAGTTAAATATGCCATTACGGGAATCTGAAGACTCTTAAATTTGAGTTATTAAAGTGAGCACGCTAAGCGGTCCGTAGTGAAATGTTTAAATATAAAACCTAACAATCAAAACGTAGTGCCCTCTGAAAGGAACAAAATTACCTTTATTAGGTAGAAAAAACAGAGATTTATTGCAAAATAAAGTACGTTATGATACTTTATTTTTTATTAAGTATCCGTTTTAACAATTCATTCCCTACAATACAAAACTTAAAATGTGTACGTAAATTGAAAAATAAGTACATACTCTTTGTTGGTGAAAAATAAATTAAATGCAGTTGATAAAGGTTTAAGTAAAAAACTTGGAATTATTGGTAAATGTAAAAAAGTTGTAATTGGTTGCAATATCGTGAAGTTTGCTTGCTATAAATTTTACTCTCATAATTAAAAGAAGTATAAAACCGTTTTAAACTTTTAAGTAAAACGGTTTTATTTTATGTTTTTTTTAATATTGTGTTGTCATCTAAATTAAATGTGTGTACCAAATTTCAGATCAATTTGACAACGGCAAGGTACTTAAATTTCAATTTCTAATTTTAACCCAAACAAACAAATTCCGTACGGGTCGAGCTAAATAAAACCGTTTAATAACTTCAAGAATCACATTTACATTTTTCTTTGCATTCAGAGACTGTCACTAATAACCAGCCAAGTGCCAGTAGGACTCGCGCACGAAGGGTTCCGTATCATTATCTATAAAGACGCCACCTTTTAATAAAGTGGGCCCCGGCTTCCTCACTGACCAAACGAAACGCGAAAATATCATGCCGGTCCTCTGTGAGGGCGTGGTACTTACCCGGCTGGACCTGCCAATTCGTGCCACAGCCAAAGCTGGTACGTGGCTCTACCATAATAATACTACATTTTCATCTCATATATGTATGTATATAATATATATAACAAACGGTAGCTCGGCATCGGGGGCTCGCTTAAGATTCCGTATGAGTCAAGTTTTTTCGTTTAGTAAAAAAAGTGTTCTTCGATGTATTTACTGTCCATCCATATGTATACATTCGTTTAAAACGCATACTATGATGAGATAATAAATGTTTTTTTAGAGAAATAACATTTCAATAAAATAGGTACATATTATCGTTATATTATCGAAGTACGGGAGTGTATCAATATACTGCTGTCCAGTAAACGTTTTATAGTTTAAGTATTAAAGATAGTAATCATAAAATTATATACTTTTATTCTTACGATACACTCAAGGTAAAAGTGTATAAAATATGCACAGCCATAATGTTAATACATATTACTGATGCTAATCAGGAATGTTATGAACCTGAAACGAAACTTACATGAAACAAATATCTTTCCGAAGGCGTTAATGAATTCGATGTAAATTTTAACTATAGGCAGTGTTTGGTTTAAATGAAACACCATACGCTAGGTTTTCGCCTGGCTGCACCGACCGACAGTACTCGTGTTGCTTGCAAACAATGCAGGCAGATAGATTTTATTAAAATCTTGCAAAAATAATCGATCTTTCAATATCGAATCGAAGTTATGATACAAAATTGATAAAGAAAAAATCGATGTTCCATATAGATGCCATACCATCATATTATTGCTAGTAAAGTTAGCTCGAGAGAGTCGTAATGGCTCAAGGTCCGGGCACTCGCTTTTATATTGAACATACTCGAATAACCTGAGTTCAAATCCCGGTACTTGCGCGTTAGCTCTAAAAGTAAACAATTGGATATTTTCGAAATAATAACAAAAAATGTCACGTAGGTATTTTACCAATTCAAAGTGGTGTAACGTACTGGAACATGCCTTCAGTACAGAGGAGGCCTTTGCCCAACGGTGGGACATAATAATATAGGATGTTATTAAACTGTTTTTCAAAGTGAATTTATTAAAAAATGTTGTTTATTCAATAGATATGAAGTTATTTAATATGTAAATACATTTTTTTAAATTTATGCTTTATTTGTTTTTTTCTCAAAAACTTAATATCCGTAACGGAAACTGATTTATATTTTGTATTAGTTCATATATCCGTATCCATAACCAAATTGCAAGTTTAATAAACATAATATCCAGAATATTTATTAAACATATGATAATTATGAAAGTTTTAGAATGGTATTTCAAGTGTTACTATGAACATTACTAACATTCCGATTACAATATTCAAGTGTACAGAAATGTTTGTGCTAGAGAGGCTCACAATAATAGACAAAGTTTCAAGGAGGGAGACGTGTTTTCAGAGTATTGGCGAATCCTTTAAATTAACATTTCATGCTCAAATTACCTACATAAGGTAAGAAGTTACTTGCCAAAATAGTAACAATGAAAAGCGAAACGTGAGACGAATAATATAAAACAGTTTTCAGTCTTCACCCTTACTAACCGTGTATCCGAGATTATGACTCATTATATAATTATGGTATAGTTACGCGAATCTTTGGCGTTATCACTATAAGAACATTTAGATGAATAAAGGAGTAGTATGTTATTAATAATTTACTAATGTTGTAGCGATAGCGACTAGAATAGGCCAATGCCCGCTTACTTACTGTTTAAGTATTTTTTATGGACGAAAAGGGGCAAACTAGTACGAGGCACACCTAATAGTGAGTTATCACCGCCGCTCATGAACATTTGTAACACCGCTTGCAAATGCTTTGCCTGCCTTTTAGGAAAGAACATGCACTCTTGAATGATCACAGGTCTTAGCGGTTCGGAAAGACCGCCGGGGTCAGCTAGTTCCACAGGTAGTGCGAGGCTGTTAATGCCTTGAAAATCGCAATTGTGGAAACGCTGGACATCGGGGTAGTGTGGATGTAATTTTTGGTTTTGGCGCGATGTCCGATTGCGAAATTCAGCCGTCGGGATCAACCCAAACAATTCCTCGGAACACTCCGTGAGGATGCAGAGTTATCCAACATCTCTACGCAGAGCGAAAGGCTCAAGCTGATCGGAAAGATTTTCATCGTCGATAACCAAAGCCGCCCTACGTTGAAGTATTTTAGATATGGTCTCACGAATTGAAAACCTCACGTCCAGCAGACTTTAGTCTTCAACTCATGGCCAACACACTATATCGTCGTATTTCAAGAAGCTTTTGGAGTCGTCTTATTATTTTTG